ATATACTGTTCCTCTACTCGTACAGAAAAAAGGTTTCTTTAAATTAAACAAATTTATGCGTTGGAATAATCCAACCAAATGAATGTTTAAAGAATATGCATATAATTTATAAATATGAATATAATTTGCATTAAAACTTTTTTTTCAAACAAAATATGTTTCACTTCAAAATTAAATTTGTTCAGTGAAACAAATGTAAATAGAACTCTCGACTCCAAATCTTTCTCTCTGTACGGAAGCAATTTTCTTGAAAATACAGCTGATTCATAAAATCATAGAAATGCACTGACTTATTTGCAACATGGATTTACTGAATATATCTCTAAATATAATACAAAATTGTCACTTGCAGATGTTCTGCACACATGTTTATCGTTTGTAAACATATATTATATTTAGTTACGTAGCATTTAAATTAATTTCCATTAGTTAATTACAATCAGAAAATAACATCATAATTAATTAAATTAAAAGAAATAAAAATTATCTTTTTGTCAACATAAGGTCATATGCATAAATTTAATATCGTGTGATATAAAATACATAAATTTATTTCCGTATGTTAATAGTAATTAATAAAAATAATAATTCATACATTAATAAACATTAATAAAATTCATATATCTCGTATTAATTATTTGTAATTTAAATATTAAAAATAATCAAAAACAATAATCAAAACGTTTAAACGTATTAAACGCATGAATTATTATTATTTTTATTAATTACTGTTAACATGCAGAAATAAATCTATGTATTTTGTCATCATATGATATTAAATTTATACATACGACCTTGTGTTGACTTTTACAGGCAATTTTTGTTTCTTTTTTTTATTTTTTTCAGAGCCTTAATTTATTTACATCATATAATTAAATATTTTCCTTGAAAAACTAAATATAAAGAACGCGTTATATGTTGAAAACGTGAGAGATATCCTAAAAAAAGGATGCGCTCATAAGTGGCATTCAATTTAAATGCAAATGTAAACCGTGCATTCGTAAAAATCCTCGTCAAAATCGTATTCAGCAGCGCAATGTTCAATAAATGTATAAATACTTGTTTAAATTCTAATTGCAGAAATTAGGAAATTGAATTAACCTTACGAGTCGTGGAGAAGGTCACATATGTGTCGCAGTGTAGTCTTGACAGGAAGATTCGCGTTACAATTCGCGTACATGGACTCTTCGAGTTCAATCAATGATCCAGCTCTCTAACTTTTCGCATGTGCGCAGTTGTAACCGCGAGTTCGCTATAATTATCATTCATTATCTCATAATTATCTCGTTCTCATTATCTGATAATTACTTGCATCGTAATCGAATGCTGTTAGTTCTACAACGAATTATATTCATAACATGTTTACTCACAATTCTATTGAATGTGCCATTTATCATGTTACCATTCTAACAAATCTTTTTCCAATTTCCATTAAGCGGATAATGTAATAACTCACGTCTACATTTAACCAAAGTTGTAAATGATAACAGAAAGGATAATAGCAGAAAATAATAATGAATAAATTCTTATGGAAAAAAAAAAAAAAACGTGCGCGCATATATTTCTCATTTATCACCGAAAACATTATCAAAACATTTACAAAAATTATGCAAAATAATCAAGCAAGTAATCTTCACACGTTTCTTATATATTACACATATATTATAACACGTTAATACTCATATTCATCGTCAGCTCTTACATTTAAATTCTTTAAGTTCATCTTTAAATGCTCTGTAGTTAATAAAATAATTCATAGAGCATTTGAAGATAAATTTAAGGAAACCTTAAATATAAAACTTAACTATGAATACAGACGTTAGTGTCTTACGTCAGAGTCCAATTCATAATTCAGTCGAACAGCTCATTTTATAGTTCACTGTATCTGTATAATTCATTCCTGTTTCTGATACACTAACCGCCTACTAACAATTAATTTAGGTCAAATTAACGGCAAATTTCTCGATGCTCCATAAATTTAAAGCGTCCTAATTAATAATGCGATAACGAAGCAATATTTTAAAGTAACGAATAAAAGAAGAACTGTATAATTATAAAAATATCGATTACGAACTACGTCTTTTCGCATCGATTTTGCCTTACAAATTGAAGACTTTATTACATTTTGACAGGACGCGAATCTGACGCCGGAGGAGAAAATATTAGAGCAGATTACGACAGCAGAAACTGAGCAACGTTTAATAACCAGGCGAAAATTTCTGGCAGAAAAATGCGCCGAGGAGGGACTCGATCGTCCTGGCAATGACTCGCTTCACAGGCCGAACGCCTGGGAATTTCTTGTAAATAAAGAATATCATCTTATATGGTGCAACGTTTTCAAAGCAGCATCGACATCATGGATGTATAACTTTAATTTACTTGCTGGGTAAGTTCCATCATCGTTTACATATTTCTTGCGGAAACGATGAAAATGAACACGACGAAAATAAAGTATACCATGTAATTTATACCGTTACAAATTGCATACAAAATGCAATGAAAAGATAATATTACAGATAAATATTTAATTATTTTCACTTCCTCTTTTTTTTTCTTTTATAATTTTTGTATGAAAAAAAATTGCTGTTCTATTTTTATCGTCAAATCATTAAAATATTAACCTAATTATTGAATAATTGATTATAATTGAGCAATTAATTACGAACAATATCATAAATCATCAATCGTTATTACGCTAACTTTGCAGATACAGCCCACAATTTTTGAAAGCCTCCAAGGCAGTGCCAGTCTCATTAGCTAGACAAAGGTATCCTAGGCACAGCGCAGAAGAACTAGCTAAATATTTAAATGATAGCATCAGTTTTTTGATAGTGCGACATCCCTTCGAAAGGTTGCTCAGCGCTTATCGAGATAAATTGGAGCACAGTCTGCCGCACACATTTCACAGTAACCTCGGTGCACACATAGTTTGGCACTACAGAGCAAGGGTAATGTCTTTCGATGATTTCTATAAACGATAATCATTTGGAGTCACGCTAAATAGTTGCTCTTCATTCTTCTACAAAATTAGCAATTTAGCGTAATTATAAAAATAAAAATATAAAATACGAATTAATAAAAAAACATTTAAGAATAATTGAGAAATTTAGAGGAATCAACTTTCCTCATAATACTATATAGATTCATGTTGTATTCACATATTGATTAATTTAATATAAAATCATTACTGTCGTGTGTGTGTGTGTGTGTGTGTGTGTGTGTGTGTGTGTGTGTGTGTGTATGCGTGCGTGCGTGCGTGCGTGTAAAGTATTTTAAAATAGATTTTTGATCACACACACACACACACACACACACACACACACACACACACACACAAAATATAGGATTCAAAGACGAATACAAGACAAGGACCGCGATATCCCCTCTTTGAGGAATTCGTGCGATGGCTGTTATGCCAATGGAGAGCAGGGAACGATCTCGACATGCATTGGACACCAGTTGTAAACTTCTGCACACCCTGCCAAGTGCGATTCGACGTGATAGCGAAATTCGAGACATTACATGTAAGTAAATTTAATCGTACTTCTTTATCTAACTGCATAAGAGTCACATATGAGAAAGAGATTGTATTTATATTTTTAAGGAAGTATCCAATATTTGCAAAATAACAAAAATTAAACAAGATAAGCGTGTTTCTGAACTATAAGAGAATTGTTTTAAAACTATCGTTTTCTTGTTAAAGAATGACCAAGACTATCTCATAAAACAAGCTCATGTGGGACACATTATCAAACCCGAGTGGAAAAATCCTACTAAAGGCGTGCAAACCAAAGATGTCATAAAAAATTATTTTACACAATTATCCAAGACACAGATCGAAGAGCTCTATGAAATGTTCAGGTACGTCTGCAAAAAGTCGAGAAATTTACATACATTGATGATTTTGCATGTAATATCAGAGACGCAAAAATATGTGAATAATTACATTTAGCATCATAAAATGTAAATTTATCTTATCTTTATGATTCACAGGTATGACTTCGTACTATTCGATTATTCGCCAGACGAATATTTAGCATTTGGTAGAGATGAAATCACTACACTAATATGTAAAAAATGAACCTGACATATCTATACTTGAGATATGTGAATGGAATGAGGCATACGACACAACGAAATCGTAGGTAGTTAAATAAATTTGAAGAGACAGGAAGTATAATATTCGATATGTATATAGTGATCAATGCATTTCTTATATGGGACTTCAAAAATGAAAGGATATATTCTGGTTTTGTAACTCACATATAAACTACGTTATCATATTGAACATTTTGATAGCGCATTAAAGTTTATCGAATTGTTATATTGAAATATATTGGAAGAAATATATTAGAAGAATACAATACAAATTTATGATAAATCATCATAATGCAAATATGACGCGTACAGTTCGTTGATTGCGTACTTAAATTGTTAAAATAAATTAAATTTTTACAAATTTACTGCTTGAAGAAAGCTTTACTGGCATATAAAGCTTTCTGTTTATTCCAAATTTTCATTCTTTCAATTATCTTCCGTTTTAATAATGTATGATATAGTTTGAGTTAGGTTCTATTAGTAATAAAAGTTGCTAAGCCTTTAAATAGAAATGCAATATTGACATAAGAAAAGTCTAGATAAATTCAAAGAATTTTAGTACGTGATACACGAGATTTAAAAAGAAATTTGTGATTGTCTCAGTTTTGCATAAAGCAATAAGAGTATCTAATTATATCACCAAGTTGTCCTCGACAACTACACAATAATCTTTGTAAACATAAATGTAGTACCACTATAACAATGTATAGTACTGCCTCAAGGAAACATGGTGCAAAATATTACGATAACTAACTTATCACATAACATCACTTTAAGATTCAAACAATTTTGTAGAGTTGCGTTGCTTTGAGAAATAATAAAATCGTATATTTCCGAGTAATTAAAACAGTGAATCAATCAGCAGTTATATTTGCGTACGTTTCACAATAGAAATCGATTAAAATAATTGGATATTTAAAGTTTTAAGTCTCAAATAAAATATTTGTCTGCGTAATCGCAAAATTTAAATTAATTAAATAAATTCGAATGATGCAAAAAATACGTCGACATTACAAATTTCTATACTTGCAAAATAAAACACATTGTTGAATAAAGATTATTTGTACGATATTCTGCGTGTACAATCTTTATCAATATCTTATATTTTTTATAGATATGAATATATACTTTTATTTCAGTATTCTTTCTGTTTGTCTCTCATCTTCGTTATTCGACAAGATTACATCGAACATAACTTTATAAATGATTTGATAACTAACTCACCAGCAGGATCTGTTGTACAATTCTACTCCAATAATCCATTTATCCTGAAGAACACATTGCCATAGTGAGATTACTTCCAATAGTTTTTCTGGGCTACTAGTGCTGCTGCGTCGCTGTTTCTTTATCATAGGTACTCCTTCGGCAGTGTACATCTGTAATATACTACAATATTATAGATATTCCATATATCAATTAATTGACTGTTTATTATGATATTACATTGAATACAGAATAAGATTAAGAGTAAGTAAGATCCTCAAGTGCTCTCAAAAACAAAAATAAAAGAAATTTGAGGATTTAACAATACAAATTGGTATTTCTTATTCTTTGAAGAACAAAGAAAAATAAAATAGAAGAAACCCAAGGATTTTAATTATTTCTTGCAAAATTGTTTAATTTTCAATTTAATGGAACTAATTAAAAATTACGGAACTAAAACCAAAAAATTTTTATTATAATTTATAGAGATTCTAAAAACATGGTTTTGAGAATTTAACGCTAAATTAAAAAACCTCTTTTTTTTTTAAATAAAAAAAAATATAAACGGAAACAAAACCATTCAGAGAAAGATTTAAATTATTTCTTGCAAAAATCAAACATTTAATTTCATTTTTAATTTATAAAAATTTTCATCATACAAAATTTTGGAATAAAAATATAGTTTGCCGATTATATAATAATACACCAAATCGAAAATAGTAGGGAACTATATGAGAGACTTGCAAAAATTAACTAAATCATAATACATATTATTTATAAATATTTATTTACAGTAAATAAATAATTACTCAAAAAATGATAATTAAATAAAATTCTTGGAAAAAATAAACATATATTTACATTTAGTAAATTTGGAGACACAATGTCTCTGTTCATTTACTCAAAATTTTAACAAATATTTATTAAAATTTTTTTTCAGAATAATGTTGAGTCCAGCTCAAAACCATAAAAAATTAAAATTAGCAAAGTTATGAATGCTAACATACTATAACATATTAAAAAATGTTTTCAACTTTATTCTTGTCTTACATCTAAAAATTTGTCATCTCTCTTCTGTCTAGAATCTGGCCATGAGATAACAAATTTTTTATTGGCTCGTCGTTTTCATCAATTTCAATAAATTGTAATGATAAAAGCAACAATATATATGATCTTCTTTCTCATTCTTGTTTTGACAAAATTCCTCGTGGCCAAACTCAAATTTAATTTAGAAGCTGCAGTTTAATCTCACGTGCTTTAAGCGCTTGTAATCATTCTGTTTTTATTGTTTATTACACGTAAAACAAGAATAAACGAGTTGAAAATATTAAACTGATGCAGCAAAAATCTACTGTATCATATTGCATGTGTAGGTTGTAAATAAATGTACTTTTTGCTCTTCGCTTTCTCTCTCCTCAACACCCAAATATGTGTGTTTATCTCATTTTAACTACAGAAACTTTTGAGGATTCAAGCAAGAGTAGACAGATCTAGGTAAAATCATGGAATTACCTCGTTGTCCGAGCCCGAGTTCGCATCCTCTCCGTGAAGTGCGCGCCATTCTAGAGCGTTCAAAACGCACGCAATGGTTGTTTTCGTTTCAGCGATTTCGCTCGTCGTAACGTTGATCCTATCCTCGATATCAGCGAGCTGCTTCAATAAATGCTCCTCGACAGGATTCACCGGCTCGGTTTGAGCCGGCAAGGCCATATCTTCGTCACTAATAGCGAATATATCCTCGTCGTCGGACTCCATTATCAAGTTTCTGTTATCTACGCCGATTACATTGATTACGTTTCGATTATGCGTACCTACGTAACGGAACGATGTCGAATCGGAACAACGCGACGCGTTATCGCACAACAATTTCCGGAGTAGTGAGTAACGTCTGTTCTTTATGAAAATTATAAAAACAATTATCAATGCACCCGAGTAAACTGGCGGGCTCGCCGTTGTGACAATTTTAAACTTTACGATTCAGATCGGTGCAGGATGGCCAACGTAACGGCACTGGCTGCGTTCAGCAAACTTAACAGTTGAGTCTGTTGAACACAACCACTGAAAATAACAGAACTCTGGCTGTGTTCGGTTTGATCGCTAATTCAAAAAATTAGAGAAACATAAACACGAAATTAAATTGAGATTAAAGTTAATTTTACATTGACAGAAGTATCAAGCATATTTATAATCATCATTCTATATTTATCATTCTGTATTCATTAGATATAAAGTTAGGCCGGAATCAGACTATGTATTGAAGAATGAGATTGAAGATTGAAAGACTGAAGTTTGACTAATCAAAACAAAAGAAGCCAAAATTTCTTTGTTTTCGTTGGTGAAATTTTAATCTTTAATTCTTAATGTCAATTTTCATAATTTGATTTCGGCCTAAGAATAGACACGCTGAAAGTCTAAAAATCCAAATACACCGAATACACCCTTCATAAATTCAGTTGGAATGCACTGGTGCATATTAAAACCGTTGTATACTGATTTAATTCGAGTATAAAAGTGAAATATAAATATTTCGAATTATAAAATACATATTTTATCTGCCTGCAAAATAAACTGTATTGAGGATTTAGCCAGTTTCTATATTTATATTAAATACATATTTTTTATATCAAATTGTACGACTTTAATGTGCACTGCTTAAGTGCTCTGAGAGCATCCAATCAAATTTATTATCATTACGTCTGTTCGCGTTGTTGTGTTTTTTGCATTTAGTATCTTCGCTTTCTCTCTCTCTCTTTAATATCCAAATATATATTTATCTTATTTTAAATGCAAACAATACGAACAAACCTATTGATTGCATTCAGCAGATTCAACAAATGAAGAGCGCTCGCTGTATTCTTCTAAATCATCCAATTAAACTTTTAGATCTAAAAGAATATGTCAATAGCTGCGAACGTTCATTTAGTTGTTCTGCAGTCAATTACATTACCAACAATAGAAAATCATCGAGAATCTCGAGGCCTGTTCTTTTTAGCTAAACTTTTACACCAGTTCATCTTTCTTTCTTTTCTCTTCAGGAAGAAAGAAAAAGAAAAAAGATGAATTAGTGCAAAGAGAACTAGTCAAAAAGAACAGATCTTCGGTCGATAATGTCAACGCTCTACAATTACCAAGTACGAGCTCCACCTGACAATTGCCGAGAATTAGCTTACGTTTGCGAAGCGAATCCTCGAAAGACAACGTTGCCCGGTCGTCGACGGTTACGTCGCGGAAACGCTGAACGTCGCTGCTGCGGGAATCGCTTCCCTAGCAACCCATCACCATCCGTGCATCCGCTCGCCCGTGGCCCCGCACCCGTCTATCCGCCCGTCTGTCTATCCTCTCGGTCGTCCGTCCGTGGCTCCGTTGTGGCGTGCGTGCTGTATACAGCCGGACGTCCGCTCCGCTGGTGAGATGTGCCTCTGCCTGTCCGTCGCAACTGCGTCGCGGAGTCTGTCTGGTCTGTCGTCGGACGGCGCGACAGCGTGAAAATGGCGGTGTGAGGAAATGGCAGGACGCAGATCGACGCTGTCGAATGCGGCGGACTCGCTGCCAGGATCGGGTGGCGGCGGTAGCGGAGGCAACGGCGGCGATCCGCTACGTGAACTCTTTGAAGCCTGTAAGACCGGCGATCTCGCCAAGGTGAAGGCGTTGGTCAACCCAAAAACGGTCAACGCCCGCGACACTGCCGGACGCAAGTCCACCCCTCTGCACTTTGCAGCTGGTGAGTCATGTTTCGAATCCGCTCCTCCTCATCTCTTCCTTCCTCATCTCCGCTTTGTTCGTTCGAGAATTATTCCTTAGATTGCATCTCCGGATGTTGTAAACTTCGGAACTCCTTGTAAACACGTGGACGATGATGGCTGAGGGAGGTTAATGAGCAGCGAGTCACGTTCAGCTGATCGCAACTTGAGTAGAGTTGTCAAGTAGTAATCATGTGCGATGACTTCCTTGTCATCAACACATGATGAGAACATGCTTGACATAGTCTTGGATGAGGGTATCTGGAAATTTTTCCATGAAAATAAAGAAAAATAAATCAATTTTAGATAGGTTATTGAAAGAAATTCTTTACTACAGATTTTTCACATTAAAAACTCCCGTTTATGAACACCAATTTTTATATTTTTTTTTTAATTGGCATTTTGTATGCTGTATAATATTGTCAGGTAATATTGTATCAGGATTATTGTGAATATATAACTGTTGAAAAATAAAGTTTCATCTTGAATATATAATTATATTAAATAATTAGTTTAAATCTTTTTAAAAAAGTAATTATTAACAAGTGATTATTAATAAAATAATTATTAATCAAATTTTGAAAAATTTTTAACAAAATAATTATATAAATGTTATGTATGTTTAATTCAATGTTTGTATGTGTATATACAGCAAAAAATACAGAAATGACTATAACTTTTAAATAAATAGAAACTATAATTTATTAAAACTTAATAAATTAATTAGGTATGATTTATGTGATTTAATTATTTATAGTATATACAAATTATAAATTATATATACAAGTATTATATATACAATTATATATACAAATTATTTTTCATCATCCTTATCTTATTATGTACTCTGTTGATCTTTCAGATAGGTTTTTATACACGTAATTATATAAAATGTATATTATTTTATAGGATATGGTAGAAAGGACGTTGTAGAATTTCTTCTGTCTGCTGGTGCGTCGATCCAAGCACGCGATGATGGTGGTCTACATCCATTACACAACGCTTGTTCCTTTGGACATTGTGATGTTGTAAGATTATTATTAGAAGCAGGAGCAAGTCCAAATACAAGAGATAATTGGAACTTCACGCCTTTGCACGAAGCAGCGATCAAGGTGCTTATTTTGTACTCATTATATTTACATGATTTTCATCATTAGTACTAAAGGTTGAAGATGGAAATGGTGTCTAACTTTTTCATCTTCATTTGTACTTGACAGGGTAAAATAGACGTATGTATTACTCTGCTACAGCATGGAGCAGATGTAAACATTAGGAATACAGAAGGAAAGACTGCATTAGAAGTAGCAGATGTCTCTACAAAACCAGTACTAACAGGAGAATATAGGAAAGATGAACTCTTAGAAGCGGCTAGATCTGGAAACGAGGAACGATTATTGCAGCTACTAAATCCTCTTAATGTCAATTGTCACGCCAGTGACGGAAGAAGATCTACGCCTTTACATTTGGCGGCTGGTTATAATAGATCTAGAGTTGTACAGATTCTTCTTCAGAATGGTGCAGATGTCCATGCTAAAGATAAAGGGTTGGTATATGCAAACATCCAACTTATAAATTAGAATGTAAAAAATTTAACATTAATTTATAATAAGAAAAATCTTGTTTCATTATATTTTTTTTTATTATTCGTTTTTCTTTTTATTTCTATTTACTATGTTTTTATCATTAAATTTAAATATATCAAAATTTGACTAAGATCTGATATATCAAAATCTGACTAATTGTAAGTAAGATCCATTAAAATCCCAATTGATTTTATAGAGGTCTCGTGCCGCTTCATAACGCCTGTTCGTATGGCCATTTTGAAGTAACCGAGGCGCTCCTGAAACACGGTGCCGCTGTTAATGCCAGTGATCTCTGGACATTCACTCCATTGCACGAAGCTGCGAGTAAGTCCAGAGCAGAGGTCTGTTCCTTGTTGTTGAGCGAAGGCGCGGATCCGACACAATTAAACTGCCATAGTAAGAGCGCCATTGACGTAGCACCGACCCTCGAATTACAAGAAAGATTAGCGTGTAAGTTCTATCTATAAATGGATTGTACTTTCTATTGTCATTCCTAAATATTTTAATCATGCATATTTTACAATCAATGTCTGATATATGACTTACAGACGAATACAAGGGTCATTGCCTATTGGACGCCTGCAGGCAGGCAGATCTTACTAAACTTAAAAAGTATCTATCGCAAGAGATCGTTAATTTCAAACATCCTTATACCGGCGATACACCGATGCATTGCGCAGTAGCGTCACCATATCCGAAGCGAAAGCAAGTTATCGAGGCCTTGATTCGAAAGAATGCTGCCATGAATGAGAAAAATAAAGACTTTCTTACGCCGCTTCATGTAGCAACCGATCATTCGCATTACGATGCGATGGACATATTGCTGCGGCATAATGCAAAAGTCAACGCACTAGATGGTTTAGGACAAACCGCGCTGCACAGGTATCTTTGTTCTGGAAAACCACTCGTCATCATAAGAAATGAGTGAGCCAATTTTTATATTATTAGTTCATAATACGTCAATTAATTATTTCCTTACTAGGTGTGCTAGAGAGGATAATGTACAAGCTTGCAGAATACTCTTGTCGTATAATATCGACCCTTCGATAATATCCCTTCAAGGGTATACTGCGGCACAAATTTCTGCCGAGAACGTATTGAAAATATTGCAAGGTAAATTACATAGAAGCCTATTTTGTAACTTTTAACGACTGTGATTATAGTATTACAGTGTCGTTACACAAGTTTTGTCCTTTACATTGTAAGAGAGAGAGAGAGAGAGAGAGAGAGAGAGAGAGAGAGAGAGAGAATTGCGCAACGATATTGTTATACAGTTATGATCGTTAAGAGTAACAGGGCCCTTAATCTGATTTCGCAATTTATTTTGGGAAACATTTTTATCTTCATGTTTAATTACGTAGATCCACCAAATGGAACTGACGATGTGGAAGCACAACTCTTAGAGGCAAGCAAATCGGGCGATCTTGCTGCTGTAGAAAGAATCTTGCAGGCCAATCCACATGCTGTGAATTGTCGCGATTTGGACGGCAGACACTCAACTCCACTGCATTTTGCAGCGGGTTTTAATAGAGTGCCAGTTGTAGAGTACCTATTAGCACATGGCGCTGATGTGCATGCCAAAGACAAAGGGTAATTAATTCAATATTAATGCAATATTAATGCAATATGGCTTTAATTATTCATTGAACATGCTTTAACATTTACATAGCATTTTTAATTTCTCTTTATCTATATTCTATAGTTCAGTATTCATCTTTATGTGCAATATAAAATACTCTTAACAATATTGCATATTATATTCATTTTGATGTAGTGGATTGGTTCCTCTCCACAACGCTTGTTCTTATGGCCACTATGAGGTCACGGAATTATTAGTAAAACACGGAGCATCCGTGAATGTTGCCGATTTGTGGAAATTTACACCGCTCCACGAAGCTGCCGCTAAAGGCAAATATGAGATAGTTCGATTATTGTTGAGACACGGAGCGGATGCTACTAAAAAGAATAGAGACGGTGCGACACCGTTAGACTTAGTAAGAGATGGTGACCAGGATGTAGCGGATCTTTTACGTGGAAATAGCGCACTTTTGGATGCAGCGAAGAAGGGTAATTTAGCCAGAGTACAACGACTGGTCACACAAGACAACATTAATTGTCGGGATGCACAAGGACGCAATAGTACTCCATTACATTTAGCTGGTAATATATCATTTCTGAATTATATTCATTTCTGAATATATAAGTGTTAATATAATCTCTCTTTTCTATTAAAAAAAAAAAATATGTTTAAATAGTTCATATTTTTTTTATTTTATTTTTCCACGGAGATTTGTAAAATGTATTATATATTATGATATATATATTTTTTTTTATTTGAGTTTTTAGAAATAAAATAGAAAGATCTTGTGTATTTATATAGAAATAGCAAATAGCTTTATATTTACATAGATTGTACTTTTCTTAACACAGCGGGATACAATAACCTGGAAGTGGCTGAATTCTTACTTGAACGTGGTGCCGATGTAAATGCGCAAGATAAAGGTGGCCTTATTCCTTTGCATAATGCGTCGAGTTACGGTCATTTAGACATTGCAGCCTTGCTCATTAAGTACAATACTGTGGTGAATGCGACTGATAAATGGGGATTCACGCCACTTCATGAAGCTGCGCAAAAGGGTCGAACGCAGCTGTGTGCTCTTCTGCTTGCTCATGGCGCCGATCCCTTCCTGAAAAATCAGGAAGGTCAAACTCCAGTGGATTTGGCCAGTGCGGACGATGTAAGATGTTTATTACAAGATGCTATGGCTTCTCAGCAAATCGTTCCAACAGTTCCATCGGGCAACATGGTGAATAGTGGTGGTGGCAATTCTATTAACAGTAGGCCACCTAGTATCGTATCCGGTAAGACTTGTTTCTATAATCATAAACTATTTTAA